CACCAACACATCCACACACAGGGCCAGATTTCTTCATTTTTGGCTTCCTTGTGGTGGTTATTTTTTTTTTTTTGTTTTGTTTTCAGTCTGGTGACTCTGTCCTGCAAAGGAAGTGTATTTAGGGAGGTACATCTATAGTTGCAGCCTTTTCATCATGCTCACTTTCCCCTGTAGAGAATATTTAACTGCTACTGCTGGAATGATTCTCCAGTGGTTCACTTACTAATTATTGAACACCCATTACAATTAAAGTACTCTCTTCTTTCAACCCTGGGGATAAATTTTAGAGTATTAAGATTTATTTTCTTTTTTTTCAAAACCAGTGCAAAGCCGAACTTTCTGTGTTGCCCCTGGGTTTCACACTGCAAACTTGGTCAGTCAAGCATGCAAAAATCTGGTAAAATAAACCCTGGAGACCAGGTTTTAAATGGCCCTCTCACCATCCAGAATTCTCTTCTGCTTAAAGTAGTTGTCCAACCCCAGCACATAAGGTTTAATAATAATTAATTACTCTATGCCAGATAATGAAAAAAGTGGTATGGACAGACTCCATGTACATGTACCAGTTGAAAGCATTAAATTTATTTTCTTCTGGTGCAAACCATCAGTAATCAAATTTCCATTACCCAGTGATGGGTGTGAATGGTCAAGAAAAATACTTAGTCAACAGAATTCCAATTAGAGATCTGTGAGTGTCCTGCTTTAAATATAGCAAAGTAAGGAAATATTTTCCCAGGAGGATGGTCCTCTGATGAGTAAGTGTGGTTCTGGGTATTTCACTGTAGCAAGTATTTGGCAGGAGCAAGATCAGTGAAACAAACCTCTCTAAGTGCCTGAAGAGAGAAGGAGAAGTGGTTTCCTTTGTAAATGAATCAGTCCTGCTTTGAAATTGTTCTATAAAACATGGAGAAGCTTAAAAGTGTGGTGAGACTGTCTCCCAAACATGACTTTTCATGCTGTATTTACAGCACGGTACTATTTATTCCATTTCTTCTGATTTGGAGGTACTGCTCAGATTTGGATGGTTGTTTGTGCCAGGTGAAGGATGCTATGAGAAGCTACAGAATATAATCATTGCTTGGGAAACATGAGCAGCCATCCTTGCAGCTGGGGAGGAGGCAGGGTTGGGTTTGGTCCCAAAGACGAGGGCGTCAGGAGAGGGGAGCACTGATTTCACTGCAATCCTCACGCCTTTCACAGTCATGTAACTGGGGTTTGCCTCAAAACTCTGCCTTAGCTGCATCACACATGAGTTTGAGACATAATTAATATTAATAAAGCCCATTATGCAAAATTAGCCATAGCCAGGAGATTCTTTAAAAGGTGAAATCATAATAGTCATGATCAGAGTGTCTGTGTTGCTGGGAAACTGGGAGCTGTCCTGGACTGCTCCTCAATATTTGCCTTTCATTACAGATCTTTCCTCCCTACCTGTGGAAAATGGGGTTTTAAAGGAGAGAAACAGTGATGACTACAAAGAAAATCCTTTCTCTGAGTTTTGGTATTTTTTGCAGTTGGGTCTCAGATCTGGCAGATAAAAGACATGTGGAGATTCCTTAGCAATGGTGCCCTGCAAGGAAAACCAGCAGCAGCACAAGTGGGTGTAGGGCACGATGCTTGTTTGTTTGGGAGTATTTTGGGGGGATCCTCATTACTCATTCTTCCATTTTGTCTTCAGAAATTGTGGGGCAGGTTCCAATCAGGTGTTGTATCTGCAAATCCCTCCATTTCCCAGCACAGACCTTGGCCACTGACCTGCAAACACCTCCTTCAGCCATTCCAGTATCTGTAGATCTGCCACGAGCATTTAGGTGCAGCCTTCAAATAAAGCAGCTACACACTCTTGTAAAACCTGCAGCAGAAGAACCTAAGCTTAAAAATAATCCCACAAGTAGAGCATTCAGCTAATCAGGAGTTCAGATTGTCTGGTGTTCCTGTGCACAAATCAGTTGTATTTCAGAGGCTGGAGCAGGGAGTCACCACTGGAGCCTGATTACAGATTTTAAGTGCTGCCTGATTAAATTAAACTTGGTGCTGTTTAAGGCTGATTTTGAGCAAATGGGAAAAATCAGAGATGCAATCCAGGCACTTTAAGCTGATCCAGATTTTGAGAGTGAAAAATTCAGGACTCAGACCTAGATCCAAGTTTTATCCTGAGGCCCCTGTCTCCAGAGTGGGCTGATTCAAAATTTTGCAAGGAAAGTCTCTGGGCTATTCCCCTGTAGTAAACTTATATTTGCTTAAGAATAAATTACTTAATTCTTAGTGGCTCTGGAAGGCTCGTGTCCTCGGCACTGAGTTCACCAGAACAAAATGCTAAACCACTGAGTGGTTTACTCAGACACAGAAATAGGCATCAGAAGGTATTTCATCAGTTCCTACAGTACAATCCAACCTTTGCAGGTTGGCACATGTATTCTCTTTCAGCCTTTTGATTAGCTGCATAGTACCAAAACCATACGTATTTATAGCTTGCAGAATTAGATAAATTCTCCAGATGTGGCTTCCTTTTAGTTATGCTGAGATGAGTGGAGATCAAAGCCTTTGATCTGCAGCCTGACTGAAACCTGCTGCTGACACAAGTCTAGAAAATGATGCAGTGAGGGGAACTGGCCACTCTCAATTTGCCCCAGAAGCATCTCAAACAAAACGGATGGGATGAAACTTTGTGAAGGATATTTCTATACACACCATTGAGTCTCTACTCCTGAAAGTACAAGGCAGTTTTCAATGAACCTTTTACTCTTAACAACATATTTAAATAGATTGATTTTCTGTTCCAGCTCAGAAATGATTTAAGACTTTTCAGTGCATGCATATCCTCTGTGATACACAGAACTGGCAGGAAATGTCATCATCAGCTAGTTTATAACCTCAATTAAGGCCATTTCCATTGCTCCAGATGTGTAAAGCAGACTTATAGCTGAGTTCCTGGTACAGGGAACTCCCTGATGCATCCTAAGCTCAGCCCTGCCAGCTCCATGATATCTCCTTCATGACCCTTGGAAAAAATGATGAATAGCCAGGGAATTGCAAATTCAGGCTGAATTCTGGCAACATGAGCACTTTGTACAAGTCTTACTGGTTAGGCAGATAGCACAGTCTGGAAACCTTTATCTGGCACCCCAGGCTGGTCCAGCAGCCCCAGTGCAAAGTTCTGAGTGGCCACTCCTGCCTGTCCCTGCATCTTCCCAAGCCCCACAGCAAGGCCATGAACCCTCAGCTCTTTGGGTGATGCTGCCAACAAGTTCTGACTCCCATGGCCACTTGCATGAACTGTTTGCTGTGAAAGAAGCTGATAACAAAACACAACACACAAAATAAACAAAAAATTAAACAAAATAAATAAATATACAAAATATATAAATTATGTAAAATATATAAAATATATAAATTATACAAAATAAACAAAATAAATAAATATACAAAATATATAAAATATGTAAAATATATAAAATAGATAAATTGTACAAAATAAACAAAATAAATAAACAAAATATATAATATATATAAAATATACAAAATAAACAAAACAAATAAAAATATACAAAATAAAACCCAACCAACCAACTACAATCAAAAAATACCCACTCAAAAACCTTATATTCAAACTTCAGCAAAATCAGAGAATGGACAAATTTTCATTGGAGAGAAAAGGCAGAAATGTACTGCCCTAGAGAGAGCATAAGAAATGCAATTTATTTACTCAATCATAAATTCTTTATCAACATAAGAAGAAAGAACTTCAATTTTAATATTACTGAAAATTATCATAAAATATTAGCTCAAATATATAAGGGAAAATTCAAAAGGTGGAAAACCAAATCAAAAAGGTAGAAAAACAAATGAAAAAGGTATAAAACCAAATGCAGTCAGGAAGAGACATCAGGGTCAACAAGTCCTTAAACCCATTAATAATGTGAGGAAAAGCAAATGAAAGGTTTGTCCTCCTGTGGGGTTTGGACTAAATAATCCTTGGACCTTATTTTGGACCAATAGACCTCAAGGTCCATTCCAACCCATTCTATGCTTCTATGAATTAATGCCCATTTCACAATATTTAGTAGAAAGAAAATAGTGAATAAGAGTTTACTAAATTAATACTAAGGAAAAGAAAATTCAGGACAGATTAGGGTAAAATCAGGTTAAAGAATACTTAGATAAGTTAGAGATTATGAAATTGGCTGGGGCTGACTTAATCCTGCAGACCTTGAAGAACTGTAATCTCAGAACTATTAATGGTATCTCTGAATTCCTGGATGGGCTGGGGTGATAGCAGAGAACTGATGTATTGCCCATCTTTAAAAGGTGGGAGAGGTGAGAGAAGAAAGAGCAGGAGAATTGTACAACAGCCAGCTTACCCTCAAAATCTGGAAAAATGCTGCAGCAAATAGACACATATCTGGAAAATAAGAAGATGAGCAACATCCAATACAGATTTGCCAAGCACAAGTCATGTCACAGAGCTCTAATTTAATTTTAAAGAGTGAAGGGCCATGGGGATAGAAGAAAAAGAGGAAATATCAAATATATTGACTGCAGTAAGGTTTTTGACACACTGATGGTGTTCTGCTTTTTGTCCTGTGCAGAATTTCCCTTTCTTATATAATATCTTTAAAAAATAATCTAGAGGAAAATGAAAATCTAATATTAACCAAATTAAAAGACTCTTTTAAGTTTAACAATTCAATATAATGCATAAAACAGAGGATAAAGATTACAATTTGTGAAGGCTGCCAGGACAAACTTCCCCCCACCTTTCAAGAACCCTTATGGGGGTTCACACCCCTCTTAGGTGATGAGATTTTGTGTCTGTGAAATCCATGAACACAAGGAAAGGTGTGAGGAAGGAGATCTTCCCGTTGCTAGCTCACCTGAGACAAGGACACCCTGTTTGCTCTTTTTTTCTGGTGTGGGTGTTTGGTTGTTGGTTTTTGTTGTTGTTGTTGTTTGGGGGGGTTGTTTTGTTTGTGGGTTTTTTGTTTGTTTGCTTGCTTACTTGTTCAGGGGTTTGTTTGTTTTTTTCTTCTTTTTCTTTTTCTGTAAGTCTGCTGTTCTCTGTTACAACCTTACCTAATGGAGACCACTAGGGAAATAGGGAATGGAAAAGGGTGAGACTGCAGAGAATGAGCAATGGCCTTGTTTTTGAAATAAGCACAGTGCAGTAGTGCAGGGGAAGCAGAGATGAGCACAGCAGAAAGTCAGCAGTGAGCAGAAAGATAAATGACAAGTGCAGAGCTCACAAGCCAAAATACGGCCCTCTGGAGCTGTACAGAGTGAGTAATGGGCCCTTGCACTGGCACAATGTGTGGTCTGAGCCCTCCAACCTCTCTGGGCTGCCCAGCTGAGCTGAGGCAGGAGCAGGAGAGCTCTGTTGTGTCCTGCAGAGCCCAGGCACTGCCCTCAGCCTGATATTCTGACACACTGTGCTCTCCGTGGGGTAGACTTTGCCCTCCAGGCTTTATGGGATGTCCTGCTGCCACGCCAGACCCAGCAGCCTGCAATCACCCTCTGCAATTTTATCTCTCTCTATATTTTTATGGCATCACCCTCCATCCCACTCCACCTGTGAGTCCTCATTGCTCTTGGCTTGCAGCTCTGGAGCACACAGCTGCCCCATCAGTACCTCTGTCTGTAATGAAAAGAGTTTACAGCCTCCAAAAGCCCCAAACCCATATGGTTCAACATCTGATTTGCTTCAAGTCACTTAAGTCACAAGTTAAAAGCCCTGCCTTGTGCACATGCCTGGGAGTCAGGGTGTGGATTTCTCCAGGGAAAGGTCTCCTGTCTGCCTTTAAAAGGGAGCAGCTTTGCTTTGATGTATCCATAGGTGAGGATCTGGCCTTGTCTCACCATGTGCTCCCTCCACAGAGCCCTGGGCTGCTGGGCATTATTACAGCTCATACAGAAAACCAGAAGCAGAACAGCACCCTGCTAACCCTGCCCAGGCTGGATTTGCAGACACCTGAAGCCCAGTACAGATGCAGGTTTGGGTATTGCCACATGCAAAGTGTAGATATTGTCACATATTCTTCACTTTTAAGGGAAGTGAAGGTTCTCACAGGTCCAGGTGAGGTGTGAGCACTGACAGACATTAATGACCAGAGCAGCTGGTCCCTCTCAGCTGGGGCACCCTCACCCTGTGCCCAGGAGCCTCCACCTCTCCCTGGGCTGTGCCAGGGGGTGCTGGGCTCCAGCTCAGCCCAGGCTGTCCATCCGCTGCCTCAGCCCCAGCTCTGTGGACTTTCTGCCATGATGGACCTGCCTGGGAGCTGCAGGATGCTGTCTGACCTGGATCACCTTCCCTGCATCTCACCTTGGCCTGTGGGTGTCTTTGGGCTGCCCCATCTCCTGATGATGTGGGCTCCTGGCTATGACCTGTGGGGCTGCTCTGCCCCCCTTGCTCACGTACTGGGGGCTTTGCTGGGTGTGTTACCAGGCTGGGCTCCTGCCTTCCATCCCTACAAGCATTTTTAAACTTTAAAATCTCTTTGTTTGAAGTTAAGTTTAGTAAAATTCTCGTGGCAGAGGCTGAATAACTCAATAAAATATGAGCCTTCCCCAGGACTACAGGGCTTGTGCTGGGGAGATGATGTTGTCCACCTTCTAGCTGGTAAATGAAAGTTTTATTTTGGGGTATAGGTGGATTAGGCTTGCTACTGCAGTGTGGGGTATGACAGGCCCTTTTTGGGGTGCAGGAGGGCAATGGGAAGTTCAGAGGGATGTGGAGTGTTCAGATGCACCCACAGACTCCAGCTGACACAGGGCCACCACATGCTCCCAGAGCCCTGTGCTCCTGAAGTATTATGAACTTAAAAAAAGAGAAAAATTATATTTATAGGCGATATGAATGGTTGAAAACATAGGTACTGTGTGTCTAGGTTGTCAGTGTGGAAGATGTTGCCTGACCCCCCTGGCATCCCAGCCAAGACTGAAACCCAGGGATGTTGGTGTCACCAGGAAGGGAGGCAGGCAGTGACACCTGTGACGCACTCTTCAAATGTCTGACATTTTCCTAAAGAAGCCTACATGTTATCAAAACAATGCATTTTATTCTTCTGGATAATGAAACTGATCAACACAAATAACTGAGGGTTTATCCCAAACTGGGGCTGAATCTCAATTCTGACAGTTACTGCTGCCCACAGCTTGTACTTTTTTTTGTACTTTGAGCCATTTCTGCTGCCTTTGCTCCCTCCCAAGCAGAGGCTTTCCCTGTGAGCCCTGCAGACCTGCACAGCTGAGCACTGCTCCCATCTTTCTGCACCTGGTGCACATCCACTATTTTGCCTGGATTAATCACTGGCTGCAAGTTACAGTCTTCTGCATCCCAACATTGGCACTGAGCTCTGTCAGAGGGGGAAAAAACTCTTTTCTGATTATTAAATTGTCAGTCCAAAGTTGAAGAGTGTGTTGCAGCTGAAATGCTGATAAAAGCCCTAAATGTGGAGCTTGCTAATACAAAGCTCTAGCAGCAATTTAGCTGGTTATCAGGCAGTAAATAAGACTTACCTGCTATTCTTTGATCAACCTTTTTTCTGTTATGAACTGCATGTGTTGACAAATTATGTCACCAAAAAGAAATTCAAGTCTTTGATGAAATAACAGGAAACATGCATGTGCTGGAAGGCTAAAAATTTAAATAAGGCTGCTTTAGGATTTTGGGTAGCAGTGGTGGATTTGCTTAAGGTGCATGAGGAAGGGCTGGGCTGGACATTGGGGGGCAGGAGAAGCTGGAGTGGCCTCAAAGTCACCCTGAGCCTCACACAGGCTTTGAGCAGTGTTTCCAGGACAGTGGAACTGCAGCTACCAGATGAGACTGATTCTCTTTGAATTTGTAACAATAAACTGGCAGTTTCTGTGAATGGATGCCTCTTTGGAGGATGGGTGCCTCAAAGAGAGCTGCACTGTCAGTACCCCACTGGGATAAGCAGCTCTTTAAGGGTGAGATTTGGATCCAGGGCTCTGACACATGAAACATTATTATTATTAGAATGCTAACAGTGGTGCTTGAAGGGTCCAGTGGAGCTTAGACATGAGTCTTGGTCAAATTCCAGCTTTCTGAGCCATTTCCCAGAATATCAGACAGAACTGAAACCAATAGGTTTCCACGGCTGCCTCTTGAAAAACACAGCCAGAGAGCCAAGTGAAAGGAGATACCACAACAAGGGAGAAGTGTGAAGCTGGAAAGCACAGATTTGGCCCTGAATTCCCCCAGAGTCTGGAGGCTTTTAGATCCAAATTCCTCATTTGCTCCATCTCAGAGTGTGAGGCTGCCCCTTGCAAACTCCCTGCCTTGAACTCTTCCCAAGAGCAGGAGAGAGGCTGGGACTCTTCCTGAGGTCAGTTTTTTCTGCTGTAACTGAGCTCTGCAGTCAAAATCCCCAAAAGCTGGTTCTTCCCTGACTGCAGGCATGTGACTGAGATCAGCTTCTGTCAAGTGTGAGAGGTCTCAGACTGTGCCATGCTGGGGTCCAGCTGGCTCAGCCCCTCCCTGTCTCAGAGGCTGCAGAGAGCATCCAGGGGTTGTTGTGGTGGTGGGGTGTGCACAAAAACCTGTTCCCTGGAGTATTTTCTCCTCCCAGATATGTTAGTCTAGTCCTTAGGGGCACTGGCTCAAAACTTGATCTCTGGATATACAGTTATATTTACCCACACAGGACGTGGGGCTCTCCTTGGTGGTTGCTGATTTATGAGCATACAGGATTTCTTCCAGCAGATCCAACAATGTATTTTATAAATTTTGAGTTCACCTCTTCACCTTAATGAACATTAATTGACTGCTAGATCAGATATTGGGAAGAAATTCTTCCCTGTGAGGGTTGTAAGGTGCTGGAAGAGGTTTCCCAGGGAAGCTGTGGCTGCCCCATCCCTGGAAGTGTTCAAGGCCAGGTTGGCCTTGAACCTGGTCTAGAAGAAAGTGTGGCAGAGGGATTGGGATAAGATGGGCTCTAAGGTCCTTTCTAGCCTAACCCATTCTATCATGATTAATTAAACAATATTACAGTTAAATTATCCTTTATGGAGTAATATATTCAAATTAATAAAAATTAAGCCCAGAGGAATTAAACAGGAATCTTTCACATATTTTTCCAGTGGCTCCAGCACTCATTGATCTGAGTCCTCATCCCCTTTTACTGAACATTTCCCATGTGAATGGGAGCTACTCTGCCAGAGCAGCACTTCAAATTGACCTTGTCCAGCACATTTTAACCATGGCTGCTCTAGGAGTAAATTCATTTCTCCTTCCCCACTGACTGGCACATGCAGGATGGTCAGGTAGACCCTGCAATTAACAGGGAGAGACTCACAATTCATCTTCATCCCTCTCACATGTAGTGCTCAATAAATGCATTTGATTGCAGCTTTGATGGAGCTGCTGGAGCTCCAGAGGGCTCATGAAATCAGTGTGTTCAGTCAATTTTTAACCTGCAGAAGCAACCAGTGAAAGGTGTAGATCCATTTGTTGGGAAAACAGCTGAATTGGAGAAATGAAACATCTCACCAGGAACAAATATTGTTTGACAAGGTCGGGGGTAGCAAAACACTTTTCACGGTGCTTTTCTGCCTGAGGCACCTCCCTTTTGCTGCCAGTGTAATATCCAGGAGGGGTGATGGGAACAGTGCTGAGATGGGGACAGCTTTCCCCTTTCCTTTGCCTCTCATCACAGCCACCAGCACAGCATGGGGAAAAATTCTCAATGGGAAGCTCCTTTGCCACCTTTTTGCTAAATTAACCTGCACAGGGGTGATAGCCATGGAGGAAAAAGGGGATTAGCCTTTCCAAATCCCTCTGATCCTCATTTCTGCACAATTCCTCTGGAGACATTTTTCCCTTGCAGTAAGTGCAGAGGCATCCATGGGCTCCTCCCAAAGGTCTGGGAAGGGTTACTGAGGAAAGCCAACCTACTGCAGCCCCTTGGGGGAAACACTGGGGGTTTCTGCGGTGGGGAGGCTGCTGACCACCCCTTGGGAGGGGAGGCACAACCAGGTGGAGGTGTGCCCCTGCCCGAGCCTGCTCGCTCCTGGGCTGTGCTGCACAGACTTGCCAGCTGTGGCTGCCCACAGAAACAGGCTCCATAACCTAGAGGGAGCTTTGTGATTCCAGACAAGCCTTGCTGCACCACCTGTGCTGGGGCAGGTCTTTCTCCTCCCCTCTCCTTAGAATTCACCCATTTGTTTTGTCTGCATCTGCTGGATCTGGCAGGAGAGTCTCTGTAAGCCCAAGGAGTAGGAGGTCACAGCTGTGCAGGAATCAAGGACCTTTTTAATTTAGGAAAGGGCCAGAACTGCCGTGGGAAGCCTGGGATGGATGTCTTCTAAAGCTTTTTTGTACTATTTGGGTGATGTGAAGAGGACTTGACATAACCTGACTTCATGAGAAAGCCAAGAGACCAGCCCAGCTGTGGTAAAATGTCTGTGGTCTCCAGATCTGCCCTAATTTGAACTTGAAAGTGAGCTCCAAAGCCCTGCTGCTCACTTTTGAAACTACTGCCTTCTCCTTGTGCAAGTGAAGTTCAAGCAGCTTGAAGGCTCTTAGATCCCCATCCCTGCAAAGAATAAGCTCTGCCTTCCCACCACCCCTCTCTGCAGGGGAACATCAGTGCCCATGGATGAAGCTCTGGGAGGATTTTTTTTGAGCTTCCTGTAGTTATCTCAAACCTTCATCTCTCAAATGCAAAGGCTTTTATAGCCTTTGTATTCTATTAGTGTAACACTGAATGCCCTCGTTCTTCAGGTATTTATAGCAACTTCTGCAGCTCCCATAATAACTCTTGGTGGCTCAGCACCTCACAACATGATGTCTTGTTATCCCCATTTCACAGATGTGGAAATAGGGCACAGGGAAATTAAGTGATTTCTGCAGGATCTCCTGTAACCCACTGCAGTGCCTTGGCTGTGCCACCACCTTCAGCTGAGCCTCAGCTCAGGTAGGATATTGTGGGCTTCTGCTATTCTCTTCATTTAAGATTATATAAAGAGACATAAATGCTAATTCTAGAGCAATGCCCTGATTTTCAGCAGCTCTGAGGAACCTCAGATGTCTCTGGACTCAATGCAGACATCCAGGAACTCAGAAAATTAGGCTGAGTTTTACTTGCCTAAATACTGGTGGTGAACTTGCTGGCAGAGCAGGGGATGAGCAGGAGGGTTTGGTGAATTCCTGCAGCTCCCCTTGGTCTCAATGAGGAGCTGAGCTGAGGGGAGCCAGGGCCAGGCCCTGTGAAGCAGGGCAGGGGTGCAGGGCTGCCCAGGAGCTGTGTGGGCACACAGGGGAGCAGGGCATGGAGCAGCAAGGCTCTCCCCCCTGGCCTGAGGAGGGTCCCAAGCACACTGCTCTCCCTCCATGCCTCAGTCTCCCCACCCGCGCATCATGCATGGTAACAGTTAGCCACCACACTAAAGTGACACCCAGCTGGGTTATTTTGCAGCTCGGGTTTCAGGTCTTTGATTATGTGACAAGAGTGTGATGCAGGGGCTGGGCTATTTGGATACTTGATAAGAATGATGTTGTTCTGCAAGGTGATGCCACGTTATGGATTAAGTTCTTTATTCCCTAACGATGGAGCAGCTTTGGAATGCTCTGTGCATGCAGGCAGTGAAGGATGACTGCTGGGCAAAGGGCTGGTGTTGGTACAGGAATCTTTCCCTAAGCTGATGGATAAACTGCTGCTGTGGGATGGTTTCATGCATCCAGAGATGTCTCCTCTTTTTCTGTACAGCAGACCATCACAAAGCTTGTGCATCACCAAAGTCCCTGCTTTGTTTGTGCCATCAGTTAGAACCCTGGCTAATCACAGAATCACAGAATAGTTTGGGTGGGAGGGATCTTAAAGGTCATCTAGTTCCAACCCCTTCAGTGGGCAGGGAGATGTACACTAGACCAGGTGAAAGGTCTAAAGAATGGCACTGGACAGAGCTGGATCAGCAAGAGCTCAGCATTAGTCCCCATCCTCCTCAAAAAAACATCCAAAGCTGAACCTTCAGCTTTTTTGAGGAGAGCTTGCCTTGTCCTGAGCCACACTGCACTTGAGACTATGTGGGGAAACTCCAGGAAAATGGCTTCTCCCAATAAAAACCTGTATGAAGACAGCTGTTGGTAAGGTTTTCATTAACCTTGCTCTGGGAATGTCTATTATTTCCAGCCACAGTGTCTGGTACTGCTTGGTACTGAGCACACGTGGAACAAACCCCTCCTGCCCCAAAAGAGCAGCAGAGCAAAGCTGTGCCTGCTCTGGAGCCGTTTGCACAGGACATCAAAGGTCTGCAAACCCCTCTGTGTCAGTGCCACACAGATGGAGTCCTGGAAAACTGGCAGGTACCAGCACAGGACATTTTTGGAAGGATTACATTTGGTGCAGCACAATAGTTCCTTTATAGCCAGGGCTTGATGTGCTGCTGGTTCACGATGGCAATTAGCTGGATTAAGTTGCACCAATCTAAACAAAGTATTAATGAGACAGTTCCAGTAAATGGAACAGGCAGCACTCGGCCTGTGCCAGCTGCAGGGGCTCTGTCAGGCATTTGGGATGCAATGTTTGTGGCACTGGGGAGGACATTCACGGCCAAGCCATGAACATCCACCTGCTGTGGTGGCCTCTGCTGCTAAATGGAGCAGGATGGGGAGCAGCAGCACTGCTGGCATCCCAATCCCAGCAGGCAGGCTGGTTCCAGCCCCCAGACGGGCAATGGCAAACACTTCATCCTGGGCTCAGAGGAAAAGGTGAAGCAGCAAGGCTAGAAGTAGGACATAAAATCAGATTACTGTGTTTGAATTGCATTGTTTAATTCCAGTTTCTGCTGCTCTAAGACTAGACATCAAATAGAATGTTAAAATTATTTGAAACCAAGCTACAAGTCTCAACATCAGAATGCCTATTATACTTATCTGTGACCTTCTCACCATTAAAACCACCATATTATCATTACTGTACATTTTCAGATTATTATTAGGCTTCTGAACTCTGCTGCAGCTTGATTTATAGAAACTGCTTAGTCACTGGCAGCAGTGCTGTGCTGGGAGAGGCAGAGATGCTCGCTGGTGTTTCAGCACAGGCTCCTGCCAAGAAGCAGACGCTGCCCTTGACAGATCATTGAGAGCTGGTGAGCATTTCCCTCTCATGTAAAACTCCTGGAATAGCTGCAAACCAAACCAACCTTCTTCCCTACCAACAGCAGGGGTGAAAAGACTCAAGGCTCAATTAATGCATCCCCTCCAATCTTTTAGGGCAGATTTCTGTTGCCCTTTGCATGCAAAGAGACCTTCTGGTTTGCTGAGTGCCCTGCTGGGAGCAGTGCTCTGACCTTTGGGGAGGCAGAGCTCCTGTGAAATTGGGATTTAGGCCTTGGAAGGAGCAGTCTGATGGGACAGGAGCTGTCAGCAATGTGGGAAGGAGCTGGGCTGGGATGGGAATGGAGGGGCTTAGCAGGTCCAGGCACTGAGGAGCACATCCAAAATGAAATGTGGAGGAAGCACCTGCTGCTTCAGGACATTAGTGATGTTTCTGTGACCCCATGCAGGGAGCAAATGCTCTGAGCAGAAGCTGCAGACAGGCCCGTACATGAAGGGTGTTTTCCCTGGCTTGTACACGCACCAGGGCATAGTAAATGCTAATAATTTACAGCCCTCTGAACAAACCAAATTACAAACCTGTTTCTTTTAGTTACTTGCTGAGTAATGACTATGCTGAGCTCTTTATAAAGTGTAGACAAAATCAGAGTCCTCAGCCCTGTATGCCCTGAACAGGTAGGGAGTGATGTTCACTACTGCTTCAGTCAAACTTGCATCATCCCCAGCAGCCCTCTGAAACCTGCAACTGAACTGAGCTGAAAATAAAACAATGGGTATCAAACACTTCCATCCTGATTTGAGGAAATGTTTCAGCAGCATTAATGAACTGTGCCTGCTTGCAACATGCTGGTATCCTGGAGATTCAAATCCAGCACTTCAAAGAACACACATTGGTTAAGTAGCTTAGTCTTTAGTTTTATTCATGCTGGAGTAAACCACTGCCAGATATTTTCAGGGAGCTAGCAGGAGAGAAACAATGGCTCTATTTGGCAGAGTCCAGTGGATGAAAAGTATAAAAGTATAGAGTCCTAAACTGCTGAAAATAGTGAAAAATAATGGATTGGTTCTTCTCTCCTCACTCAATACCTTCATTCTTTTTGACATTTATTTTTTTATTGCCTTTTCTCCTCTAATGCATTGTGGTGACTCATGTGAAAGGTCTGTGATAATGTTCCATTGCTGTGAAGTCACCAGATAGCCACTACTCCAGATACACACTTATGTATGTTTCGAATATAGCCAGAAATGGGCTGACATTGATAGAACAGGGTAAAATAAGAGGTGGAAAGAGCATTTAAAAGCAGGTGCTGAGGAGTCCCACAGCCAGAAGACAATGATTTCTATATCTGTTGGAAATCAGAAAGGGCATGCAGTAATCTGATACACAAAGATAATTCATGGGATAGCTGGTGCCACTGCAGCTCACTTTCTCCTGTTCAAATAATTGCACTCGCTCACAGACACAATGCTTGAGTCAATATTTTCAGGAACTTTGCAGCTCAGGTCCAGACAATATCTGGCACTTTTTGCTGTCTCAAAGAGCAAACCCCATTTCATGTAGATCCTGCAGATGTGCAGGGCTGAGCTGGGATGAGGCACTGGAGAAGGGACCCATTGCTTGGTTCAGCCTTGGATTTGGTGCTCAGGAGGGAGGTGCCACCTCCCTTAAGTCTCTGAGCCCAGTTCTGACTTTTCCAGCTGGTGCAGATGCCTGGGTGTTGCTGTAAGGAGCAGAGAGCCTGTTCCCAGGAACTGAACTTTGCTCTCTTAGCAGGGACATCTGAGGGCCATATTCCAAGTAGAGACATCATGGCTTTGCCTAATAATAAACCTATTGACTTAGGGCATTTGGGGGCATGAATTCAATAAATTTGTGTTTTACTGGACATGATGTCAGCCAAGTCCCTTCTAGCCAAAGGCCATCTCTTCTGAAGCAATCAGGGCCTAAAATGCAGCAAAATAGAAAATTTATAACTAAAAAATGGAGTGAGGAGTGCTGGCTTGACAATATTGCACAGTCCTGCCCCAGTCTGCATTCAGTTCTCAGCTATTCTCTGCCTGCAGTCCAATAGTAAAGTCATATTTATTTTCTTGGCTCTGCTGTGTTAATGAAAAAGCCACTTAACAAAACAAATAGAAGGAAGGACATTTGCAACCAATTATGGTATTGCTGATCAGTCACATTGTGCTGGAAATTACACACTGAAGTTCAGCCCAGGCAGCTGATCAATGACCTGGCAGCTTGGCACCGGTGCACGCTATCAACTTAATAAATCAATGTAATTCCAGTCCCTGTGCCAGCATATATATGTGGAGTCAATATGACATCAATATTATATAATGATGGTTAAAACTAATTGCCCAAACACTGAGGTTGAGGTCTCTTATCTGCTGTGCAACCCCACCAGAGCTGCTCCAGCAGGCAGGGTGGAATTTGGCTGTTCCTTAAACACACCCCTGGGCATCACTGAAAATCATGGGTTTAAGGCTTTTTTTTTTGGAAACCACAAGGGAAGTCAGCACTCCAGCATGTCATTCAGGGCTGCCCAAGCTGCCAGCCAGCCCTCAGCCTCTGGGAGGACGTGGTGTGCACGCCGGGGCTGGCACGCGCGGCAGGAATGGGTTTCTCCTTGGTGGCAGATGCACATCTTGGCTGCTTTATGCATGGCTTCCTCTTCTTAATTAGCTCTGACATTTTAGCTGTTGGAATATGGGTTTGGTTTAGGAGTTAAGGCTGAAAACTCTGGGAGTTTTTTGTTGGAAATGAAGTTTGGTTTAAGTGCAGGGAATGTGGGTTTGAGCTAACTGGGTTTGAGCTTTGTGGGCCAGGGAGCTACAGAAGCTTCTGAGTGTGCTGGGAGTCACTTCCTAACCTTAATCCTAACCTGTACACCCAGCTTCAGTGCTCTCTGCTCTTGTAGTTCACTCTTGTCACAGAAACTACAGAGTTTATGCTTATAAAACCCCTAATTTTATTTAGAAACGCTTTTTTAAGGGTACCTGGACACTGAAGACATCCTAATAGGATTTTTGTAAGTCCCAATCCTGTCCAGCCAAGTGATTTACTCATCTCCCCACCTCTAATGTTTTATGCACAATATTTTACCTGGAACCACAGCAACATCCACTCTGGCACACACACCAAGCCTCTCACCTGGCCATGGCTTCAGCTTTTCTGGGAACACACCTGGCCCTGTGTTATGTGGGACCTGCTGTTTGTCCCATGTCATGACAACGGGTAAAGGGACATTTGGGCAGTACACACCCACCTTGGCACAGTAACTCTGGTTGTGACCTCACACCTCATCTGCATTTCTCAGATTCATCATGTCCTGGAGCCACTGGAAAGGTATGTGAGACATTTCTACCTCATTCCTCTGTGCTTAATTCTTATTAATTCAAGTGTTTTACTACATGAAGGATATTTTAACTGTAATATTGATTAATCAGTCATCAATGAATCATGATAGAATGGTTTGGGTTGGAAGAGACCTTACAGTACATCCAGTTCTAACCCCTGCCATGGTCAGGGACACCTTCCACTAGATCAGGTTGTTCCAAGCTTCATCCAACCTGGCTTTGAACCCTTCCAGGGATGGAGCATCCACAGCTTCTCTGGGCAACCTGTGCCAGGGCCTCACCACCCTCACAAAGAAGAATTTCTTGTAATAACCAACCTCTGTCAGTTTGAAGCCATTTCCCCTCATCCTGACACTCCAGGCCCTTGTCTGATCACTCTGATCTCCTGTCCCCCTCTGCTCTGTGCCAGTGCCAGCTGCAGCTCACTGGTGGCTCCCAGCTCTGCTGCACCTTTCCCCCAGGGAATGCTCTGTTATCAGCCCATGTTCATATTCTGGGAGCCTGTACAGGAACTTAGCCATGGCTCTGCAAGGTGCTCTGAAAAGTGGAGGGGAAAAGGCAATCCCTGATCTGAGTGTCTTCTGTTTCTGTTCTACAGGCACTTGGAGCCAAGGGGATACACAGCACATGCACACACACAAAATATATGTGTGTGTGTACATAAATATAAATATAAATATATATATTCTCATATATATATATGGCAATGACCTTTCTTCGGTCGCATAATTTGGTTTGCCTAATGCTTAGCTGAGAGCAGAGACAGGGAGCAAGGAAAGGAAAGGAAGGAAGAAAATCCTGATTCACGTTGCCCAGCCATAGCTGAAGCCAGGTTTGGCTGGGATTTTGGCAGAAGTGAGCTGTGAGGATAGTTCTGAAGGAGGAGAAAGGAGTGGCTGCTCAGATTTTATCAGGATGGTTTTCCCAGGCTCAAAAGAAAGCTGGGCAGAATGTGAGTGTGAGCCTTGGGAAGGAGCTGACAGCAGCATTACGGAGCCTGGTGGGGCAAAGGTTGTGGGCTGGCCATGTGTGGGTAGGTGGTTGGTTCAGCCAGGTAAGAGGAGATGTGCAAAGGTAACAGGAATAAAGACTAGGAGGCAAGAAGCTCGTAAATTATGTAACTGAAGGGCTGGTATGGCTGTGGAGTGAATTGATGTGGCCTTGAGGGGAGCTGCTAAAGCTGAAGTTTGTAATAACTGATGGAAGAAGAGAGAGGCTTGGAGGAGATTATTTTAAAAAATAAAGTTTCAGACATGATAAAAAGAGTGAATTTGAGACACAGTTCCAAGAAATCCAGCCTGGTATCACTTTGTTGAGAAGGAAATGGAGAAAAGAAGGAGATTGGCAGAAAACAATTCCTGACTGACTGGGGGGTGGAAAACACTGTCTGGGCTGCTCTACAGAACTCTTGCAGTCTTTCTGAGTTATTTGGGTATTTCCCCAATTTATTTTTTGATTAATGAATTTTTTCCAATATTGTAGCTGATTCTGGTCACTCACCCAGAGTCACAAAACATTGGTGACTGTGGGTGTGCCCAGCCTGGTTCTTCCTCATGGGACACCAGCTCCACACCAGCTTGGTTTCTTTTGATATTTCCAGAAGTTCATAGCAGAAAAATACTCTGAGAAAATTTTGTCTTGTGGTGGTTTATGCTTTATAACCCTGGCCATCACTCAAATAAAAAATGGCAGCGGTCTGTGGAAAAAAAGAAAAATAATTGAAAAATTGATTCTTACTTATGTTTTTCCAAACCACCAGAGCAGTTTACCATTTCTGGGAAAAGATGCAATCAGGCACCATTTCCCTTAATGTCAGAATGCAGAATAATGCTCAGATGAATTTTTCAAAGAAGGCACTTTTATATTTATGCTGTCAAATGGAGAAGCTGATTATCAGCTTTTTCTTTCTCTTACCTTAAATATTTACATCTAGAAATGTTAAGTGGATTTGTTTTCCTTCCTTAGTGTGCTTGGTTTGGAAAAAAAATGGGATTTTACATTGATTTTTCTGGTTTGTTTGTGTTGGAGTATAAAACCAGAATGTAGAACAGCTGGAATTGGTTTGGGGGATTTATCAGTTACACTTTGAGGGCATCATATCTCAGTATGGTACAATGGGTGTGAAATTCTGGATCCAGCAGCACCAGCAGCAATACTTCCTTCAGTTTTCATTACCTTTATTAGATAAGAATAGAATAACTTGTACTCCTTCAAGGTTTCTCCAAAATAAGTGACTTCTTTGTGATCATCTCCAAACTGGAAGCTGCCTGACTCTATTTGAGCTCCCCACCACAGCAGCAACACCTGTGTTGGTGTGTGGGGAACCCTTCATCACAGCCTGGGCTCAGGGTTTGCACAAGGAGACCCCAAATTCCTCCTGCAGCTGGGATGGGATGGGAT